TTCAGATGGTGAACCCACGGGTCTTCGCATGTTGGTCATTTGATCGTCGTCTTGCGGCATGGTGGAATGGATCCGCTGTAGGCCATATATTGAGCATTAGGGCTTTGAAAACTTCTCGGACCAGACTTGTATCGGGGAGTCCCATGCTGAAGCATACGGGTAGAGGTACCGCTTCTTGGCTTTGTTAGCAATTTTGATGCGATGATTTGCCACGTCACATTCCGTCATCTGAGGAAAACAATAACCTAAGCCTACGTCCCGATATTTATAAAATGCCTCAGGTTTCCCTTTGTAGCATATATCTGCTTTGGCTGGATTACGAGGACCTCGATCGAAGTATAAACCCTTCTCGCGAGTTGTGAAATCGTACACCCTGCTTTTCCATGAGCTTTGCGCGCTTCTGGACTATACTTGGGATAGAGCTCGACCATGTTGTGCATCATTCTTCGGTCTTCACTTAGGAAATGATCTGGTTAACGGAGAAGGCTTTTCCTTTACGGCGTAAAATGCACTTCTTAGGCGCCTCTTACTGCTTTGTTTCGGGAATGACGCAATTGGTTGTTCCGAATAGAATATGCTGGAGGTGTTCCTGCTGTCGTTGATAGGAATGATTGGATCGGCATATACAAACTCAGGAATTGTCGTACAGCTCTTTTATCACATGCATCAAGAGACAAGAAGTACTCTAAATCCATCCTTTTCATTGGGCAATATCGAGCAAGTTGCCAGTTACCATCTGCATCTGACGATTGTTGCAATGCGTAAGAATTGATTACAAAAGGTACAATGTCATTTAAAACAAAGACCGCGCATTGTAATCGAATCCGGGCTATCAGAATCAGCTTCTTCTCACTCGCGTCTGTGCCCTGGCCGAGTGGTTGAAGTATGCGGGACTTCGTTACCGGCATAAAGGAGAGAATCGGTGAAATAATTCATCATACCCTTGAATGGTTGCTTATCGCGCGAACCACCGTCGCTAAGCGCTCATTGTGCAGTGTCGACATACTTCAAACACTGGATGGAGAGTAGGAGGGAATTATGCCAGTTACTATGGAATCCAAGGCCGACGCACAATAGTAAAGTTGTAGCGAAGTCTCCCGCATCGATAACATTAACAGCCCGTGAACTTCTGTCTCAAGCATGCTCCGAATCTGGGCAGCTTCCACACCGGATCTTTACGCCAAGGGTCTTGACCGCACTAGTGTTGAATGCCATAAATAGATTAAGCAGTGCCTGTGGACGCCAAACGATTGCTTACTGAATGGCCGAGGAAATGATCAATCGAAAGCGGATAATACTTCACAGCAGAACGCCAGGATACCACTGGATTCGTTGACTTGGCTGGAGCCCAATGTACGCGACGGAAATATACGGCCGATCGTGGTTCGAATTCTTTCGTCTGCATATGCTTTTCTTTGGTGAAAGTAATGGGCAGGGAGGTTCTTAGTCGGGCTATGTTGCAACTGTTGACTGCAGCGGTTCTGGGCTGTTCATGCACCGGCTTGACTTGAGTCAGAAATACCTCTGCATTGGCCAAAAGCTTGCTTGTAGGGCCTGCCCTGGTTCTTTGGAATAATAGCACAACTCATAAGCGTTATCGCGTGCAGGAATGTTGGGCTAATTGCGCGAGCATAATGTCGAAGCTATGCGGAGTCTTCGAAAACTATTCAGGTTTGTGCCGTCATTCAATTGGAAACGAACTGAAACGAGACTGCTTGGATTCTGTACCTTTGGGATTCTTTCTATTGTTTATTGCAGCGCGGTTTGTGCTGTCGTAGAGCTTCTTTACCACGGTGTGGGACTTGTAATCACTCCCATCTCCGTGAGAGTTTTGGCTGGTCCCCGTTTATTCACGCCGCCTGCATCGATAGGTGGCGGATAATTGTAATGATACTCGTTTCCAGGCATCCGTGGTCGCAAAAGCTTCTTGTTCTTCTCAGAGAGCGGGAAAGTGGAGGATTCTGTTCGTCACTAATTCCTGGATAGCCAGAGACTCCATAAAAAAGATTTTCCCTTTCCTTTAGATTTCGCTACGCGGATGACGAACGCGGTCCATTGTTACATTCTCCAATCAAGATCTGGATGAACCCTAAAGATTTCGCCAGTTAGGGGTTGTGTGCGGCACAAGTCGCCTTTGGCGGGGCTGTCCGTGCGGATCGTCCATTCACGCGCGTCTCATGCCAGACTTTGGTGTACGCGTTTTGCTCGAACCAAGTTGTAGGCACCGACACAAAACTGATTGAGCACTTGCGTCTTGGCGTTGGCCCCCACATTTTGGCTGGTTGCGGGGTTATGACTCCTAACGTCGATTAAACGCCTGGATCTTGCTGCCTTGAGGTGGTAGCATGATGCTCAGTAGGGTGGTGACCCTCTGTGGTAAGCGCGCAGTACTTGGATCCGTCACTGTTGCTGGCCCGCTTCTTGAATGCCAACGATCGCGCGGCAACATGGATCTTGTTGTTTCTCCAAAACAGGTATTGTGAAGATGCCAGGGAACTTCATCATCCTTGAAGGAGTAGCACTTTAGGAAACCTTCGGCCTCCGCAAGATTTCTGCTATCTAGAGGCCGTTGTTGCCATGTCCTCGAGATATTGTTGGGGTGGCTTGTTGCTGTGGCTGCTGTTGCTGTGGTTGCAATTGAGGTTTGATTAGCAATCAAGCTGGGCATTAGCTTGTGCCTTACCTTTCCC